CCGGTGACACAACATCTTTCATAAGCACCTAGAATAATGAAATCTTCAGGGATCCACCTAATAAAAGCCTCCATACTACTTACCCTTTCTAAAAGTGATAGAGTCCCTTTCAAAGCGCCTTCAGGACGACCAAATGGGAAGCAGTATCTGGCAAAAAATGATTTTGAACTATCGTTAGACATATGTAGAAACTGAAGTTACCGAAAATTAGTAATCTGCTTTTCTAACAATACTCGTAATCGTTCTTTAATCTCCTGGAACTTCTCTTTTTCTTCTAGCGTTACTGTACCTACACCATCCGGTCTGGAATATAATATTGATATTTGGATGAGAACGAAATCTAAAATGATTCTCAGCGAATAGCCGCTTATACCGCAAAGAAAAAGCATAAAATCTTGTTATGGCAATTAACGTTAATTTGTCTTACTCAGCTGCACCCACCTGTTGCCGTGCACATGACTGGCACAAAATGCGAATGAGTAGTGGATGAGCGTGGGATCAATAAGCTGTCCTTGATCTGCTTTGTCAAGCAAATTTGACAGCAGTGTAACATGGCGATAGCATCCACGAACCATATATCGAGCACAGTACTCATCTAACACAAACACTTGACCAGGCGAGAACCATCCCTAACGAGGAAACATTAGAAAAGAATCAAAAAGAAAAGGAACACTTCAGCCTTACTAGTGAGCATATGGGCTCATTCATTCGGAAGTTCAAAGCTTGTCGCTGGATATCCGCGAAAATATGGTCATGATTGAAGCCGATAGGATCAGCCTGTGGGAAGGAGAATGTGCGGAATATCTTAACACTTACTCTATGATAAAGTGTTTACCTGAATGATGTCATCCAAACCGTGCTTGCTAGCCTTATCTTGAAAGCCTTGAGCCTTAGGAGCTACAGTAGATTGTTTTGGTGGAACAGGCTTGTAAGCCTGCCCTGTAGCACGATATAAAGCCTGCAACGATATGAATCATCTACAGCTCAACGGCACAGATGAGTGAAAAAAGCCAATACACAATTAGTACCTGAACCCACAAATGCCGTTCATTCTCGTCATCAGTGGCAAACTTCAATTCATCTCCCTCTTTGATCGCTGTGAAAAAGTGCTTGCCACCTTGGGCAGCAAGTTCTAAAATCATATTAACACTTTTTCTCCTAGGCTGCTGGAAATTCAGTTTGTTAAAGTCACATAGAATGGGGAAAAAATAATCTGCAAACTTAACCTTGGTCCGGCTCAGGCATATAGTCGATGGTAAACCCGTCAAGCTGCACAAACTCAGTCGGATCTGATTTCTTTTGTCGGAAACTGCATACCGCAAAAGCATATTGGGACACCTAAGAAAACATGTAAATTTCATTGCAAAGACAATAAAACTAACAGAAGATAGAGTGAGACAGGTAAGACACCTGACCCGTTGCTCTTTTTCTAACCTGAACTAAGCAGAAAAACCGTCGTTTCCATTTTTTCCAAGCTTGTCGACCTATACAGTAGCAGTAGCCGCAGTATTTGAGATTAGGTGGCTTTTCGACCCGTATAGCAATCCTGATCTTCAAATTTTGGTCGGCACTGTTTTTTGGAACAGTCATCGCGTACCATTCCGGTGACCGTGAACAGTTCGGTGTGGGTTGGATGATGACCTTAAACTTCCAGTTACATGCAAAATATTGAAAAAAGTCTTGTTTGCCTCAAGGTCTTTCATTCTGAAAAGTTGCTCAGTTGCAATTAAAAAGAAATTTACTAGATACCTTTCCAAGTTCTTTGTCTTCAAAGGCCACAATGCTTTTCACTTCGGAGTACAACTTGATCTTGACTACAGGCAAAGGATTTTTCGTTGAAAAATCTCCTTGAGTGTCCCATCTAAAATCGAATTGAATAGGTAAAGACTACATAAGAAAAAATCATCGAAAACTGGTACTGCGTCTTTTTTTT